ATGTTTCAGTAGTGTTTTTGTGCAAGTTGCACCTTGAAAAGCTTGTTCCTAGCTTTTCCTGGAAGTGCATCAAGTTTTTCAGCGTAAACACGTATAGCTCCTACCAAGCCTCAATGTAACTCCATATACGTAGGTCTAATTTGGACCTTATGCGTGGGTGTTACTCCTCAGCAGCCGCTCTTGTACTGGCTATTTGGGGTGTGGATAATTGGCTAAACCCTCTTCCAGTCAATTGACCGGAAGAGATAAGCACTGCTCAGAGCTTCTTATTGAGGTACTTGGCTTTTCGGTAAGTGTTTGACTGAGGACAAGGGTGTGCGAGGCGCAAGAGTACAAAAAACAGTTTGTTCATAGTGTTGGTGCTTACTGATGCCCAAATTAGCTTAAGCCACCATTTGTAAAGGTGACTTCTGGTATCCAGCTGGTGCTTTGTTTTTGAATACTTCACCTGAAAACACTAAGATTAGACCCCTCCCATTCTTCAGCCTGCTGTGGTACTTCATACATCAAAATGTAAAAATGCCCAAAATTTCATCATTCCAGTTTTGCAGTTCTGAGATTTTACTGCTTTTTTTGTTTGTAGATTTGGTTTCATTTTTACTCCTGGCTCAGTAAAACATGTAACTTAAATATGATGCTACCAAAGTAATCGGTAATAAAAATAATTAGCTACAGTGTGCAAGTAGATGTAGAGAATTGTCATTATTTTTATCCAGTCTTTCTTAAAAAAATAAAAAAATAAAATAAAAAGACAATAGTTGTGCATCATATGACCCCTTGAGGGTTAAGCTCCACAATCAGTTGTACTCAGTGCCTCAGTTTTCCCGATGGAAAATTATTCTTGGGCGTAATACTGCAGGACAAAGGCACAAGATCACTGACACTTGTGATTATTAAACATAAGGTACACACATACACATAAAAGAAACCAATAAAACTTGAAACGATAGAAGTTCAAAGAAGTTGTAAAGTGTTAACATTAAAATCCAAGTGAATGTTTTACACGTTGCTCTGTTCAGTCTTTAGCTCTTGATTCAGGGTTTTAATTGTAATAATACAGGCATTTATTTTTTTGAGGCCCTGAGTTGAATTCATGGGGATGTTGAGTCCTCTTTGTTTTATACCAGCTTGCTTGCCACAGATTTGTCTTCATAGCTGTCCTGTGCTTGCTGGCAAGTCCGTTTCTCAGCTGTCTGGTTATAATTCGCATTCTGACCTCCTGATGAAACATTAACTCGTTCTGACCACAGAAACTGGACCTTAAGTTTCTTCACACTAGTTTTGTGGCTTGATTGCTGTATGATGTGGACATGGGTGTGATCAGAGGCGTGAATGTCAAGAGTTTGTATAAGAGATTTTAAGGACTTTGCGTGTGTTTGGGGAATGTGTGAGAGTGACCTTTTCACAGGGTGTAGGGAGGTATATGGGAGAGGGTGGTGCGCTGTGGGTGTCTCATGTGGAAATGTTTGGAAATGTAGGAGTTGTTTGAGTCTGTTGGACGAAGACTCCCATCTGTAATGTGTGTGAAAAAACTTTTGGGTGTGTAGATTTCAGTCAAATTAGCTGCAGTGACCCACCATGACTGCCTTGAAGACAGACATTTGATAACAGTGTAGAATTAGGTAAGATAAGAGGTCTTTATGTTTACAAATAGTAGCAAAATTTCCACATTATAGCAACCAAAACGGTAAACACGACCAACAACAAAACAAAATTAGTGGAAGTGAAATTAATCATAATGAAAAAAGCTCAGTTGAATAGGATGAAATAAAATAACGTAAGATTACGAATATGTCTCTGAAGTAAAACCTCAAATATGTAGACATGGATCATCTTACAGTAAGGAGGAGCATCTGCTTTATTTACTTTTGTTTCTGTTTTAACTTTTTTTTTTAACCCAACACAGCCATTGCACATCAGATGTACTTGTATGTATCCCAAAAGTCTGTAATTTAATGTGCTACAGCAGTCAAAACATGAAAAATAACCAATCTGAAAAAGTATAGGTGTACAACTTTATGAAATGGCACTAAAGAACTCCTCACTTTGTTCTATTTCACTAAATTGAAATGACAATAATCCAATGAAGAACTTAATATTTCAAATTCCAACAAATAAATCCAGATATTATGATATGAGGGACTGAGTATTTACACAAACTAAATCAGAATGATATGCATACATGTATACCAGTGTAATAAAAGCAAATGAAATGCATCATCCATATGCGCTTAAAACCACAAAACTAATCATGTAAACCACATTTGTCTGACCAGTATTTGCCAGACAAATGTTGATTTCTCTATACATAGTTTCACTGTTTCAGAGAGCAACAGTTTATGGCAGATGAAAAATTGAATATGTTGTCTAATAAGGCTGTTATAGGTGAACATGATCTTTTTCAGAGGGTTCAGAGTTTGTAATGGTTGTTTTACAACAGAGGTATCTGCTCCCCTCACACTGGAAATCCCACTCACTGTGTTCAAAAGGAAAGCCCAGGTCTTTCTGTCATTTTGTTTGTAATATACATAATGGTATATTCTGCAAGAGTCAACACTGTTTTATGCAGAGGACAAACTGCCTCAGTTATGTATCTTTTAAAATCTATTCAATAAGGAGAGACTTGTGGGGTGATAGATTTTTCTGAAATGTGCTTATACAGTGTTTGGCCTGCAAATATTTGAGAAAGTAAATGGTCTGGAAGTGGAGGACCTTTTATTTCTATGTATACCATCTCTGTTCCCATTTGGTAAGACAGTCTTTTTAATGCCAGAGTCCTTTGATAATAATCCTCAAAGTGCAATACATCACAAGGCCGCAAGGGGGCAACATATGTACACGAAATAACACTAAGTGCCCACCTGAAGTATTTTAAATGCGTTCATTTCTGTGTAACCTAAAATAAAAGCTAAGCTGTTCTTTTGATTATGTTCTGTTAGTGCAGATTACATGGACCAAGTTGACTTTCATCTGAAGTTTCAGTGTTCAGTTTTATTTGTAGCATCAATTCGCAACAGTACACTGTGACCCTACAGAATTGGAGATACCCCCAGCAACAGTAGGGAGGAAGATCTTCCTTTTTACAGAAAGAAACCTCGAGCACAACCAGATTCATGGAGGAGCAGACTTCAGCTGTTCTGTGTGGGGTTGGCATGTTCTCCAAAGATATGAATGTTATAGATTATTTAGAGGATCTAAGTTACCCACAGGCACCACAACACGTGAAAATTAATTTAAGTAATAAACTAAATGTTACCGTTAAGTTTGACCCCCTTGTGAAGTCTACAGCAGCAGTAGCTGATACATTCCCTGTCCGTCAACCTTGTGCGTCTTGTCTAAATAATTTATCGTCTTATCTGTCCCTGAGCCATTTCTCCGTATTATAAGCTCTTTCTCATAATGGACACTGGCCCTCATGGGTGCCAATGAAATAATGCCTTAGTTTGGACGAGAGCGTGGCTAGGACCAGTAGTGCAAAGCAACTTAGTACATTTACATGGAGCACAGTTGTGATCATTTATAAGTATTTAAGTTATGCTCATTCCCTTTCTGCTCCACCATATTAAGTTTTGTAGTTTGCACTCCATATTGTTACAATCTTCAGTTACTTGTTATTTAGGAAGATTTTTTACAAACGTTATTTTGGTGTTTTAATTTTTGGTCTACGCAAAAAGTTGCATTGCTCCTAAAGGATAGAGCCTTTATTATTCTCTGGTGCAGAAAGCTGTTCTACTACTTTGAAGCCCACTGTTTGGGGCGCGTGCAGTAGTAATGTGGAGGTCACAAATGACTGGCAGGTGTGCAGATGTCAGCATAGATCTTCGTGCTCACCATTTTGAGGAAAAATGTGCATTCACTGAGTGGTTGGCAAGCGGTTGCTTGTTGTTTTTAGGTTAAATTGGTCAGGTTGTGCCAAAACAAAAAATCTCCAAGCTGCTGCGATTGCCGGTCATTTGCAAGGAAGATTTCCTGCAAATACTCGCCAAATACATGTACAACGTTTACGTTCATGTCAGTGTTGAGCCTCACCACTGTAAGAATGTTTGAAGAGGCATTCAGGGAATTCAATTTTTTTTTTTCCCCTCTAGCGACGGGTAGATGCCAGGGGATTGCCAGCTAGTGTCTAGGCCTGTGAGTACAGATAAAGATATGGCCATCCAGCAATGATTTAAAATGATTAAATTCAATAATATATGATTATGGGGGGGAGCTGTTTTTCGGATATTCCCCCTTTGTGCTGCTGGACTATGATTTTTATGCCGAAACCAGTCGGCAGAGCTGCAGGTGTGGGCGTTCCCTGCATATATTACGCAAACAGACTCAGCCTCCACCAATCGGAGGTCTGTCTCTTTCTGCGCGTGTGTGGATAAATCGTCCAGCCTCGTCCTTAGCTGCAGATCTGTGTGTACGCGCGTCGCTGTGATGAACTGACCTTGGCTTACATCCGTACCGCTGCAGTCAGTGCGCGAGCTTTACCGGAGAGAGGTCCAATAACAACAAAAGGAAAGGGGGAAAAACACACAGGGAAAGAAGCGCGTGGATGTGCCACGCAGATCCTGTAAATCATGAACAGCATGAATGCTCCGTGCTACACCATGGCTATGGATCTAGGCGTGTGCCAGCTGAGGAATTTTTCCATATCGTTCCTGTCGTCGCTGTTGAGCGCGGAGAGCTCGCACGTCCAGCTCGATAATAGGTGAATGCTCCGTCAGCTGCTTCACCTGCAGCGCTGTGCCTTTTCCTCATGACTGTGTAGCATCCAGCTTAGATGACTGTAAATGCTCACTGTGAGGGGAAAAAAGAGCATAAAAAATTCCAGATGTTTCTAGTAGCGACCTACATTTCTATAGAGGGAGCTCCTCAGGCTCTGCGGTTCGCTTTCCTCTATTCTCTGCATTTCTCTCCATCCATCTTATTTGCTGCTTTTCTTCCCCCCCACCCCCCCTCCCATTGCAGCACAGTTTGGCTTAAAATGGATTTATTTCTCTTTTCTCTTGCAGTTCATCCGGAGCCAGCGTTGTGGCCATAGACAACAAGATAGAGCAAGCGATGGTGAGTTTTTCCTTTAATTTGTTGTCTTCGAATTGCTATAAGATGTCTTAATAGGGTATTCCTTAAAAGTATTTTACTTTAAATCACCTATATCTGGAACTTCGTCATCCCAGTGTACGTAAGTGTTTATTTGAATCTCTGGCAAACAAAACGTTAACGAATTGTGAAATAAAACCGCTAATACGTGGAGAATAGAGTGCAATAGTGTGAGACTTCAGAACTGACGAGTAACCGACGTAAAGGTGAAAGTAGTTTAGCTAACTCAAAACCGAACCGCTGGTTCCAAGTTGAAAGAACATCCCGATTACTACAAATATAAAATAAATATAAAATTATAAGCACAACAGCCGATCAAAAAATAATTAAAGTTTTAAAAAGATCTAGCCCTTTATTTCCAGAAAAATCTAAAGTCTCTGTTGTCTCTGCTGTCAGCTCTTGTTGCTAGGCAAACTGGAAGGCAGTCTGGGTATAAATATCTCGGGCTCTGATTGGCTAGCACTTAAACGTGGGCCGGCTTGCTGACGTAGCACCTTGGGAATATTCCCTCTCAGGCTTCTCCTTTCATCATCATCTATTATATTATCCAAGATTAGATTACATAGAGACTCGCTTCTAAAGATCTCTTTCCACTTACTCCTTCATGAACTGTTAGTTTAATGTTTTAGGTAACTATCATTTTGTTGTTGTTTTGTTGTTATAGTAGTTTATTTTTATTTTTCTCTCTCGAAACATTCGTTTTTGCATAAAATAGTTAAGTATAATGAAGGCTGGCAGTGCTTTTCCATGAAAAGATAACACACAGCTTCAATTTAGGGATACTTTCAGCTTGAATGAAAGTTCCTGACTTTTTCCAAATAAAATAGGTCAGCTTTAAATGTTTGTTTTCCCAGATCATTAAAACTATGATCAACAGTATTTTCAGTGTACAGTCCCATGATGCACAAATAGTCACACCTTAAGGCCATCAGCATCTGGTCCAGGTGAAGACATAAGACAGGTAGCTTTTTCTTTTGCTGGTGTTTGCAATTGAAAATGAGCTGGATCCTTAAAGACTAGTTGGATTTTAATAAATGTCCCTTAATGTTAAGAACAGTTGATTTATGGAAATCAGAGAGCAACTGAAGAGGATAATAAATTAAGTCTGATCCAGAATGTTACTTTCTAATTAGTCACAACAACATTGATAAAATTAAAAGGAAATTTTAAATAAATAATTCAACTCAAAAGTGTTAGTAGTTTTGTATAAGGCAATAGCTGTGTCACATTTCCTTCTGTAAATTCGTCTCCCTGAGGAGATCAAGCCTTAGGAGTAACCTCAAAGCGCTTTGTATTGTAAGGTAGAGACCTTCCAGTGATATAGAGAAAACATCAACAATCAGACGACCCCCACTCCCACCCCACCCCCGTGAGCAAGCACTTGCTGACAGTAGGAAGGAAAAAATTCCGTATTAATTAATTTAAAGTTAGCATAATGTGTCGTCAACAACTTGATTCAATGTCATTTCACTCCTGACTTCAATGTGTGCAAAGCAGCAAAAGAAGGTACTCAGTGTGTAACGGGACTGAATAACATTATCCTGTGAGTCTTGTCCAGTCTCTTCCTTACAGTGAGGATTACAGCTTATTTAGTAAACATTGGCATTGTAATAGCGCTGTGTTTCAAATTGGTGCATATCTATTAAATGTAAAAATGTGCAATTTCCATTTGGTTTAACAGATGCTACCTGTTATTTTATCCTTCTCCTTATCAACCTCATCCTTAAATTTAAAGTCACATCAAACGGTTACAATTATGATTTTTGCCTAAAGGCACAACCTAATTTACCTGATGTTTGTGGATTCCTGTCGTAAACCTCTACCTCCTGTCTTTTTCAGGACCTGGTGAAGAGTCACCTGATGTACGCCGTGCGTGAGGAGGTGGAGGTGCTGAAGGAGCAGATCAAGGAGCTGATCGAGCGTAACTCCCAGCTAGAGCAGGAGAACACGCTGTTGAAGACGCTGGCGAGCCCCGAACAGATGGCCCAGTTCCAGGCCCAGGTTCAGACCGGCTCGCCACCTACCCCTCAAACGGCCGCCACGCCGGGACCCGCAAGCGCCACCACCCTCTCCCAGTCTGCAACACACAGCTCCGGCCCCTCGGCGTAGCCTGGCCCAGGTGGAGAACTTGACTTTTTTTGTTTGTTTGTTTCTTTGTGTTGTTTGAGCTCTGGCACAGCCGCCGAGCCAAACTTTGCCTTCAACCGCAGGAGGCTACGCCGTTAAGATGAGAATTTGCACATTTTATCTCAGAAGGATGCAGACAGAGGGACGAGCGGGGGCTGCGCTCGGAGGCGCGGGGGGAGGGCGACAATCTTGAGATGCTGTACATGAAGTTGTTTTGAACATTTGCCAAAAAAGTCCCCCTCTTTTCATCAACTAGAATGTCTTACAGAGGAACAGCTCATCAGTGGAAACAATGCTTAGATTTAAATAGAAGAAAGAAAAAAAATCACTGTGCCTGAGTGATGTCGACTACACCAGTGGGTGGAGCAGCAGGATTGATAGTTTCCTGTTTTGCAGAATGATGTAAATAAAAGAAGTTTCCAGGTTGACGGACTCAAGAGGAAGACACCTTCTCCAAATGAAGAATGTGAGCAATCATCACAGACTCCCCCATCTGGAATGGGGGAGTTTGGGGTGGGAGGGGAGGTTCTTTACAGCAGCATTGTTGATGATGGTATGATCTTTTAGCTGTGGGTTGATGGGATGAACAAACCGTGGTTTCTTATGGAGATGATGATATTCTATTTTCAGTATTTCAACCTCCTCGTTTTTGCCCTCGAAGCTCCTCATTGCAGTTTTCTCAGCCCTGCAGTGGCATGTAATTTAAACCTTATCAGACAGGGTTGAGACTTCTTTTGGGCTAAGCTGCATTTTTTCCCCTTTTTGTTTTCCTAAAAGATTCGAGAGGGCAGAGGATGATGTATATTTCTGTATAGTGTAAGTATCATGTAAAATAGAGAGGAGGTGGTGGTGAAGATAAACAACAGATGCTATCTAGGTCACACAGATTGATGCAGATGAGTCTTGCCCAGCCTGTGTCATCTATTTTTAATGCTGTATTTTCAGGACTGTGGATGGACGAGGAGTTTAGGATATTTAACTGACAACAAGCAGCCCGACTGTGTTGTCCATAACCCTTACTGCAACATTAACTCTTGACTGTAAAACCATTTCCACTTGGTTCTCTTTTTCTTTCTGGAGTATTGCACTCTTTATTTTATTTTATTTTATTTTTTTTGACAGTGAAATACTTTTGGATGAACAATATCTTAAAGTTCAATTTAAAAAAAAAAAAAAAAAAAAAAATACAAACTCTAGAGATGTTCTTTTTCATTCTGTGTATCAGTTGTATGCTCATGTTCTGTGCATGTTTCCGCAATGACCGGATGAGATATTGTAACATACATACCACAATTGCACTTGACAGCTGCACTTCACAACTTTCAATAAACATGGTTAAGGAAGAAATGACTCCTTTTTTTTCTCCTCCCCTCCCCAGTTTTCCTGTCCAATTACTGCGCTCATGAATGAAAAGAATGACCACATTTGGACAAGAGTGGAGCATTAACTAAAATAAAACGCATGATTTTGTGAACTTGAAATAAACTAACTAGAGGAAATCGCTTTAATTTTGGGATTAATTTGGTAAAATGTTTGTGATGAGACTGAAAGACAAGAGGTTGACACTCTGGATGTCTACTTGGTTAACTTAAAACTTGCTTCTGACGTATCCCCTCCATATAGTAACCATGAAAAAGACAAAGCAACTGAAATTGCATCAAATCAAAAGGGAAAAAGTTATATGAAAGGGGTTAGGTTGGTATCCCTGTTTGCAGCTACAGCTGAAAAAAACCTGGGAACTAGTCTAATGTTAAACTCTGACAACCACTGGACAATTAGTGCAACTCAACTCTTTGCAGTAAGGGAGTTGACTCAACTGGTTGGCAGCTGTGTCTGTCTATCTATCTATATCTATATCTATATATCTATATCTATCTAGATCTATAGATAGATATATATATATATTTTTTAAAGAAGGTTGGAGCGTGACCACTGCATCAATATTAGTTTAACATCTGAAATTCTGACTGGACTCGAGTTTATATAAATTTCTGTGTATGTATATGGAGACAGAAGTGATTTTCACTTCACATTTAATCACAGCTATTATCACAGATTGCTCATAACTGTCCACTTGTCCCTGTTCAATCGCAAGCTGATGGCAGACAGAGCCCATCTTTACACAACAAAGTCGTTTTGAAACAAGTAGTTGTACACCAGGTGCCCGTCTCCAACTGTTACAAAATGAATGAGACCGCTGCACATTGTGACTGTAGCATTAGTTAGAGAGGCCATTACAATCTCTAAGATCTCCAATATCCAGGTGGATGACTTATAAAATAAACTCACCTTCCTCAGTTGCTGTGGAGGGAAAACTATCCAAAGAGGCCAGACCTCCCATGGCTTGCTTTCTTTATATGAAACTGCCTCCTACGAGCAATTACATATAACCACAATGGGCTCTGCATGTATTTAAGAGTCAGGGAATTTTACAGACTCCATTAAAGTGACGCTAAAAAACCCCAAACCTAAACAAATGCATTTAAGCTCCAGAAAATAAAAACAAAAATAAATATATAATTTGGATCAACTTGCAGATGTAATTAAATTCAGTGTTTACATATCAAATAATGTTATCTTAGCAGACAGAAATTAAGTCATATTACAAACACAGTTTGTTTGTAATATGACATTAAAAAGTCATATTACAAACTGTGTTACTGCTCTGTAACTGTGTTACAGAGCAGTAACAGTTAAACAAGGTGATATTCACACTGGTTTAATGCACTGGGATCTCATTTGTTCCCTTTAGGTGGCTGAACTGAACCTTAAATATAGAAAGCAGTGTTTTTGTTTGTCATTCTCAAACTTCTAAATCACCTCCTGATCCCTCTCATTACTGAAAATACCCACCATCTCTGTTTAGAGGGAAACCATATTTAAACTGGAAATGTAAGATTATGTACACAAAGTTCTGATAGCTACTTTACAAATGAGCTGTATGCGTACCCCGGGTGACATTTAAAGCATCTAGCTGCATCCTGCTGCCACCTACAACATGAAACCTCTGACGGGTGGAATGAGTATCGTGCTCTGGTAAAACCGAGTCTACGACAGTAGAATTAAACGTGGACGTTTTCTAAATGCTCAACATTTATTTGAAAAAACATTCTTCATAGACTGACAGTGAATTATACAAGTATGGCACATTGTTAGCAGGAATCACTGGTCGCACAGTCACACACCACCTCTCTCTCTCTCTCTCTCTCACACACACACACACACACACACACACAAAATGAATCACGATCTCCAGCCGGCGTGGTCTCAGACTGTCCATAGAAAAGCTGTCAGTACCACAGACTGCAATACTGTAAACGCTGATCAGGGGCAGGGTGGTGTCTTTAGGGTCAGCTTCAGGGGGACGCTTCTCTCCCTCTCTCTCCAAGGAGTGGCATTCATCTCTGGACCTCTGGAGGGTGCACAGGTGAGGCGCTATGAGGGAATGAGGAGGGTTTGGGGGGTAGAGGGCAGGGGTCCAGAGTCTTCTCCTTCATCACATCCCCATACGGATGCTCTGGATGATCTGAAATATGGCTGAGAGCACACAGGGAGACACGACGTCAAAGCCTTGACAGGAAGGAAAACAGCGTGGTAAACAGCCATGACATCACTTCTCATCTGGATTCTCTATCCCGTTCCTGGGTCCAATTTCCCGCTCCAATCAGCAGCTTTTTTTTCTTTTTTAAAGTCCTGTCAACTCTGTGACACTTTTTAAAACTGCAGCAGATGTGTGTCCCTGTAATGTGGCGTCAGTTTGTGGGTCGCTCACTGAAACACACTGAAAATCTCATCGTCCATCCATCCATCTTCATGGATGGCCAGCCACCCTTCGGAGGAAGCTCATTTCTGCCGCTTGTATCCGCGATCTCGTTCTTTCGGTCACTACCCACAGCTCGTGGCCAT